GGGTCTCGATGATATATGGCACGCTGACCTCGTGGAAATGCGCGCATACCCTGATCGACGACATCGGTATATTTTAACGTGAGTCGATGGATTTTCAAAATACGCGTGGGCCGTCCCGTTGAAAAATAAAACGGCCAACGAAGTTACGNTGATATATGGCACGCTGACCTCGTGGAAATGCGCGCATACCCTGATCGACGACATCGGTATATTTTAACGTGCGTCGATGGATTTTCAAAATACGCGTGGGCCATCCCGTTGAAAAATAAAACGGCCAACGAAGTTACCGCAGCCATGAACGGAATACTGAAACATGGTCGTCATCCTAAGCTTTTGCAAACGGACAATGGTAAAGAATTTTACAATAAACAATTTCAAAAACTGATGTCACAATACGCAATCAATCATTACTCTACTTATTCCACGATGAAAGCGTGTCTAGTGGAACGTTTTAACCGCACGCTGAAAAACGCAATGTGGCGTGACTTTAGTGCACGTGGCTCGTACAAATGGGTGAATCGGTTGTCTGCGCTGTTGCACGACTACAATAACGTGCGTAAACATAGAACAATCGGTATGACACCGGTGCAAGCGGTGAAAAACCCAGACCTGGTTCGGTTCAAGTTGCGTCAAATACCGGATAATTTACCGGTAAAATTCCGTGTGGGAGACAATGTGCGGATAAGTGTACATAAATCAGTGTTTGATAAGGGTTACCTACCAAACTGGAGCACCGAACTGTTTACCGTAGTTAAGGTTAGGCAAACAGTACTGCCAACATACTATCTAGAAGACTATCAGGGAAATCCAATACGTGGTTTGTTTTACACCGAAGAGCTGAACAAGACCAGTTATCCGGACATGTATTTAGTCGAACGAGTGTTGCGAACACGAGGGGACCAGTGCTTCGTTAAATGGTTAGGATTTGGTCCAGAGCACAATTCATGGATACCCAAAACCAATATCTCACCTCAATGATTGTCGATATACAAGGTATTGTGGCAGCCGACCGATCGTTTTTGGTCAAGGAACTGACTGTCATTGCCATAGACTGTACTTCATTCGCTCATTGGATGTTTAAACATCCAAAAAGTATCGAGGGCGATGCTAAAACAAACTTTTGGTTGAAAAAATACCTACATGGAATGGATACTCGTTGCGGTGACGTTGAATACAATGAGTTGCCGAGAATCATGAAACTGTTGCGGTGCGAGACCATTTACGTGAAAGGAGCTGTGAAAAAGCGAGTAGTGGAAAAGTACATACCGGGACAACGTATAGTCAACGTCGAGGATTTGGACTGCCCACCGCTGTACAATTTAAGTTGTGTTACAAAAATGTGTTGTATCCGACACATGAACAACCCGACAGTGTGTAGTTTATACAAGGCAATCTGCTTAAAACAATGGATGAATTATAATATGTAACATTATTGTCAAAAAATGATTTTGCAATATTCTCATTTGTATTCGTACAATAATTATATTTTCCCTAAATAAAATGTATATTAATGATTATAGTAAAATAAATAAATATTTCTAAATTACGTGTAGTATTTACTATAGGTTATTAATACCTATTGTAAAATAATCTATCTGGTATTATCGAAATAAATAGAGGGTAATTACTTTAATTAATTAAGCATTTATTATAATATCAATTCTAACTTACATTTATTTACAATTCAATTCATTAAAATATTACATTAAAAAATCTTAAAACTATATTTACAACTATATATTTATATACAACACTTATATTTACAAAAACCTTATCATAAAATTCAATTACACGGTTTATCATACAATATATTTTACATTTATCAATATGGATATTTAAAGAGTTTTACAATCTTATTATTACTATAAAAACTAATGTTGCTTAAATTTCTTCCGATGGAATGGCATAATGACCGTAAGCCAGCGTGTCAACTCTGTTGTCGAGCGTGTAGCGCTTATCGTCGAAACGGTTAAGCGCCAACTTGGTTGTACGTAAAGTGCGTACCTCGTGCTCGAAAGAACGAATTGACACGTTCTGTCGGTACGGAGTGTACGGTAATGATAATGTCGGTGGAATCTCACCATCACGTACGGCTCCGATGACTACACGGGCATTGTCTCCGGCCAACGCTCGTTTTGACGCATCGTCACCATCGTCGCCATCGTCTTCAAACAAACATCGTTTGTAATCGTCCAAAGACAGATGGTTCCGGACGACATGTCCGCGGATCCCCTTAGACTTGATGAATTCGCTGCCTTCCATGTCAAATGCATAGCACTTTGAACGAAGTGCAGCGATCTCAAAGAGGGTGAGGCCGCCGGTCTCGTCTGAAAACAGACCAGGCGTCTTCTTCCTCGAGGTCGAGTAACAAGGGTGATCCTTGGGCAGGCTAGATGCGTCCACGTACACCAGTAAATCGGGGCTGTCGGCTAAATCCTGGTAGAAGTCGCTGACTCTGAGCAGGTATATGAAGGAGTCTGAGAAAAATTAAAAATATATAAATATTGTAAAAATATTTCTACTGTACGGTTGTACTCACCAGTATCCATGTAAACCAGGCTAATTGCGTCGCCATAATGAGGTTTTAATACGTCGTAGAAGTACTTGTACATTAGCGACTTGCTAATGTCAAGCACTGCTAAACCGACGTATATTGGTTTGAGAAACTTGACAATCTTTGTGTCCATTATGACGGCGCACAACCTTTCGCCGTATTTAATACAGTCGTTGAAGGTTGGTTGGTTTACGAGCTTGCTTAGACGTTCGGGACTGGAGATTAGTTCAATGCGGATGCGTTTCCGCATGTTCTCCATGGTTTTCCCTATAAAATATAAATATTTATCAAATAACTCACTTTACCATTGAGCGTGCACTTACCAAAGACGGCATTATTCATTAGTTTGAAAAACGATATTTCAAAAGCATTTGCCGCCTGTTTCCGCATTTCAGTGTTCAACTCAATGTACGGTTTCAACCAAGCACTTTGTTGAAACTCTAAAACGCGGTGCACCTGCAGTACAAATATTTATATTAGTATCATCGTTTATAGTTTATAGGTTAATTATACATACTTTATCGACTCGCAGTCCGTGTGCGATCGCCTGTTTAAGATTAACGTAATGTACGACGTACCGCTGTTTGGGTTTCAAAGTGGCCATGAGTTTGGTCTCTTTGGAACCCGGTGGTACATCGTTGACAGGCAAGAACGGCAAGTCGTTGTGCTCGTCATGCAGCCCTTCTGGATACGATACATCTACTTCATATATACGCCCCGTATTACCAGTGTCCGAAAGCAATTGGAGGTCGGCCAGAGGATCTGTTCCTTCATACCACCGGAAGACACCGTACGGCATGGGCTGACTCATAGCCCACCCGTAAAGGTTATTGCCTATTATATGTATATNAGAGGATCTGATCCTTCATACCACCGGAAGCCACCGTACGGCATGGGCTGACTCATAGCCCACCCGTAAAGGTTATTGCCTATATACATTAAACGTTTTTAATTCACAGCTCAATTATTGTACTTTTATATATAATACTTACAATCTTGATACACGATCCATGAGTCTGGTTTTGTCGGATCGTAGCCAGGTGTCTTTGGATTGTTGGCCTTGGCATAGTGCTTGACGGCCTGCACCAGCCCACCTTAAATGCTCTGTTCCACCATCAGTAGCATGTCGTAATCGTTTAAGAGCTCCAGCTTCACCCTGATGTACTTTAACATACAATCGAAGCTAAAACCCGGTGCGGTATAATAGTGCGCCGGGTCCAAATTGTATGTTGTAGTACAGATGTCGCGAAAGTTCTCAAACACGTCAGCCCACAACAGCACGTCAATCTTTAGGTATAGGTCGCTGTACTCACCGAGGGTTAAACAACCGAAACGATTCCACACCTCTGTGGCGTGTCTATAGTC